CCTTTGAGCTGGCCTCGAGGTGGGGCCGGGGTCGGGTGGGTGGAGGGTGGGGAGTGTGCGGAGAGGCAAGGCCGCAGTCGAGCTGGGCAAACAGATTGGGCAGCGGCTGTGAGCACAGAGCGCCCATTGTGGGCCCAGAGCTCTGCTTTCAATAATCTACTTGGAAGAATGTTTCATTGAGCGCCAGAGAAAGGAGCCATTGAAATGCCCAGGACTGGGGCCCTGTGAAGGGTTAAAGGCAAGGGACTAGGGTGCCCTGGCTCTTGCCACTCTTGGTTCAGATGTCTGATATGGGGATCCTGAGGCTAAAACAAAGGGGACTCGGTGAGACCACCGAGAGGGCCGGAAGCAAGGGGCAGGAGTGTGTCTCCCCCTCGGAAATGCAGAAGGAGGTACACCAACATCAAGGAGGAAAATGCTCTTCCTCCCAGCACCAGTTTGCCCAAATAATATCCAGCAAGGACTGGGCCTCAGATACCCCTCAGCCTGCCCACTGGGGAGAAGAGCTCGTTTGGGCAAGCAGTATAGTCTCGTGAGGTGGCCAGCACAGCTTCCTTGAACACCTCTGACCTTACCTTTGATCGTTCATTCATTGTAATTAATGATGCACTAGTCGAGTGCGGGACTTCAAGTGAGAACCAGTGGCCACTAGACCAGAGGACCAAGGAAACCTGTGGAATTTCTCTCAGGGAGGCCTTTTTTCAAATAGAGAAAGTGCTCATTAGGAGGGTAGGGCCTAACTGTTGGAAAGGGTGCCAGGAGCAGAATTCTGTGATCCCACTCAGTGTGCTTCCTTCCCGGGCGCCACAGGCCATATATATGACCTTTCAAGCCCCAGGGGCTCATGGGGTTTCAAGTTCGGGGAACCTAATTCTGGCACCTGTGGCCTCCGAGGAGAGACAGGAGGTGGCTGAGCCGGGCCTGCCTCTGGGAGCCCGACCCCCAGCACCGCGGCAGGGCGGCACCCTTCTCGCCACGGAGCTGCTGCCTGAGGCTGCATCTTTGGGGAAGCGCTCTACAGCTGAAGCTGAGCTTACGCCGTGAACCAAAGTAACCATTTTGGATGGAAACCTTAAAACGTCTCTGATGCCTTCTCCAGCTTTCTTAAAAAGAACTTGAACAGAATTTAAACGCTGAAGGGTGACCCCCTCATTCCCTTCTGTGGCTTGGCTGTGATTTGGTGATGCCCTCGGGTCTGTTCAGGTGGACGTAGCTCTTTGCTTTTGCACCAAATGGCCCGAACTCCCTGGCTTTTGGAATTGACTGGTCTGATTTTTATGTTTATTCTTTTGTTTCTCCCTGATGTTTTCACTGCGAAACTGTATTACTATAAAACAGGCAAATGCTTCAAGCCACCTTCTTATCTATTCCCTCTGAACTACTTCCAATATTACCGGCCTGGGAAACAAAATCGTTAGCCTTGTAAGAATTGCGTATGAAGCAAGAGTCAGTAGGCTTGGAGTGAGGAAGGCCTGAGGAGCTCTCCTCCGAGTGAAGGGATTGAACTCTATGACATTATTGACTGTTCAGAGGCCTTCTATGTTATCTCTCTGGTCTTTGACTTGGCCCAGCCTACACAAATTGACCTCCAGAGGACGAGAGCATGCATAATCCGTGCATAAGATCTTTGCCAAGGTTAATTAAGTCACAAGAAAATAATATCTGTACTGAGTTAATTTTAGCTCAAAGATGGTCAAACATACACATACACCCACACCCACACCTACACCACACACAGCAAATGAAAGACAAAGCCACAAAATAGACTCACCCACTTTTTCACTTTTATATCTCCGCATCCTAACAAGTTTTCTATGGATAAATAACCCGAATCATAACATTTTCAAGTTGGAAAGAACTTTCAAAGTCCTTGGAAAGAACTTTCAAAGTTTTGCTCCCCATTTTAGTTTGGAATCTCTCTCCCTCCTGGACAGATGGGCACTTTCTGCCCCTTTTGCATTGTGCTAGTAACACAGAGCTCAGTGCTTTTTGAAGTCCGACAGAAAGTAACACCACTATACCCCTGCGATATCTGCGATATACATTTCATGTGCCGATGTTAGGTTTCTGGTCCTGCTTTAATGAGGCTGCTCTTCGGGGATGATGGGGAAAGCATGCACCTACGTGAATGCGGGGACAGATCTCCCCCGCCCGTAGGGGATGGATATTCCTGTTGTCATTCACCTTGGAAACAGGAGGGTCCTGAGACAGAAACTGCAAAGGCTGGCTTAGCTCAAGAGGGAACTTCTATTTCTCTGAGACTTACTTTTTGAGCCTGAACTTGAGATATTTTAGAGTTCTTGAGTCCATCTGGGTGGCAGTAGGGCTGATGGACATTGTCCCAGGAAGAAGGCAGGTAGGCATCCTGTAGGGAACATAAAAGGAAGATGAGTGAGTCACGTCTTAACAGCAATATGACCTGAATTCAAGTTACTCCTTATTTATTTCCCCCTCAGCATCCCTGAGCCTTTGGAAATGTCCGGCCTAAATGTTCTAGCCTGGTCCTTCTGTGTAATGGCATTAAGAGTTGCAGGTCAGTGTTTATTTCCCTAGAATGCTAGAGAGGAAAGATGCCCCCTGAGGCCACCATGGGTGTGGGGGAGTACTGATGGGCCCTTAAACATGAATACTGGGGAACACGAGCTGGGCCCCAGAGTTCCACCTACTCCTCTCCACGTGGTGATTCACCCATCACTGCCATCCTTTTATTAAGAAAGCTGCCAGATTTCCTACAAAAGTAATCCCTTAAATTGGCCTGAAATCTGCCTCCCAGTAATGTTCAACCCACAGGACTTGGTCTTTTCTCCCTGAACCACAGAGAACAATCATCATAATCGTTCACATTCATTGAGTACTTACGCTGTGCTGGGCACTTTACTGAACACTGTGTTGTGTCTCATTTATATTATTAACCCATTTTACAGAAGAATAAATTGAGGCGGAGGGAGGCCAAATAATCTGCCCAGGGCCTGACCCCAAATAAGCAGCAGGATTTGAACACAAGCAGTTTGATGTCAGAGCCTACAGTCTTGAACTCTTAGAAATTCTACTTGTCTTGTCCCTTTGATGCCCCCCGCCCAGATCTGCAGCCTGTGAGCTTCCCTCCCCAGACCTTTCTTCTTCCAGGCTACATCCCCACCCTACCTCCCTTGCCATTTCTCCCTGTGCCGCTTCTCCTCGTCCTCCTGACCGAGGTCTGGGACAATGCAAAGACAGCAAAACCCAAGTCCATTTGACCTCCTGTGACTTGTCCCACTTTGACCCCCAGGATAGCCTTCAGGCTGAAGCCTTCGGAAGCACCATTTTAGCAGCATTCCCCTCAGGAGGCTGTATTTTTCCTGTCTGTCCTCAACATTTCTTTTGCCAGAACAACAGGCTCAGTTTTCCCTTCTGATAAATCTGGTCACCCTAAATATGGGGCTTTGAGCAAACAGGAGCGGCCGGCCCCACGCAGCCCTCATTTCAAAACGTGGATTCACTTGGGCTGCTATTTTGGAAGTCTGGTTTCTTTCCCCACACACAGTGGTTTTAAGGAAGAGGGAAGGGATCATGACAGAATACTGGCAGGGGAAAGATGCTAGCAGAGAAGACACACCTGGGCACTCTTCGTTCAACTAAGTTCCCCCAAACACTGGCCCTTCGAGAAGCCCTGTGGAAAGGAGGGTCCTTGGCCACATAAAACTGGAAAATTCAGCTTTACCAGCTCCCCTCCTGGAGATCAGCATATCCAACATTTGAAGTGCTGGTAGGAAGGGAGCCTAACCGGTTTTGTTTAATTCAGCTTTCCCATTTAAAAATGCGGCCTAGGAAAACGTTGGAAAACAATGAAGCAGAGCGGAAGTTGCATGGCCTAACATATTCCTCAGGTTTGAGTTGGTCTGTGCAGTGCTTAAATTTGCTTTATTTATTTTATTTTATTTTTTAAAGTTATTTATTTATTTATTGAGAGGGAGACAGAATGATAGAGAGAGAGCATGAGAGGGAGGAGGGTCAGAGGGAGAAGCAGACTCCCTGCTGAGCAGGGAGCTTGATGTGGGACTTAGTCCTGGGACTCCAGGATCATGACCTTAGCCGAAGGCAGTCGCTTAACCAACTGAGCCACCAAGGCGCCCCTAAATTTGCTTTAAATTAGTTGCTAGCACTTAACAGTTGGAATATTTCTCATAATAATCTGGATTTGGATGTTCTTGGAAAATCATAAGATCTGGAAACACTGGTCCACGTTTTTGCATGACAATGGTCAGCCGGACACAAGGCTGTGGTCTTTGGCTCACGGCAGCCCCCGCCCTCCTCTGGCAATACAGCCATCCCCCTGCTTTACTCCTTTCTGATACCTGTCTGGCCCAGGAGTCCTTCTGGCTTGCCTTCTCTGCCCTGGAGATTTCCTTGGGTGGGAGTTGGCCTGCATGCCTGCTGGAGGCCCATTCATCCATTCATTCATGCAACATGTGCTGATTGAGCTTCTGGACCCTGTGGATATGTATTCAACAGCCCGGGCCCTCTGGATTCTAGCACGGGAGGGCAGAATGAAGAGGGGGAGGGGAGGGGTTGGCGAGAGGGAAGCTGGCAAAGGCCAGAACCTAGTTTCCTGATTTCCAGCCCCAGGTGCTTGCTAGCGGCATCCCTATTCTTCACCGCTGTCTCTACTGCCGCTCTAGCAGCCGCTGAGCCCCAGGGAAGAAGCTACTGACATGCCCTGTGACTTACACGAGTTCCCACCTATCTCAGGGCCTCAGTTTCTCCAACTGTAGAACGATTGGGTTGGAGTAGAAAACTAGGCGCGTCCCTTCCAGGGCTGGCACGCAAAGATGCTAAGACTCCAAGATCTTGGAATGTCTGACCGGACCATTCGGGAGCTGTTCCACTGAATTCCAAGCAGCCCCTCTCCCTCCTTTTCCCCGGCCCGGGCCGGGAGGGGGCCGGAGCCAGAGGGCCGACCGGGCCTGGGCTTCCCGCCCGGGGGCGGAGCCGCTGCTCCACGTCCCGCCCCTCCACCTGGGGTTCTGCCCCGGCAGATGTTACAACTTTCTCGCATTCTCTCCCGCGGTGTCCCCCCAGGCCCGCCCAACCCGTGCCTCCCTCCCGTTCCCCGGTGGGGTCCTGCCCGCCTCCCTGCGGGGAGCCCGACTGTTCTCAGGACTGCGGGCGGGGCGAGAGGCCGGGCGGGGGGCTGGAGGGTCGGGAGGAGGAGGAAGGGAAAGCAGAGGCGAGAGAAATTAGGAGGCGGGAGAAATCGAAGGCTAGTAGGAAGGGGAGAGTCAGAGGATGGTGGAGAGCACTTTTTGGAAGCAGCCACGCCGCGTCTCAGGCTGGCCCGGCTGAGCTGGGGGAGAGGGAGCGAGCGCGGCGCAGGGCGGGCGCGCAGGCGGCGGGCGGCAGCTCGGCGCGGGCCTGACCTCCCCAGAGCGCCCCGCTGCGGCCGCGCAGTTCCGGCCGCCAGTCCTGGACCAACCCCTGGGCCGCCCCCCGGGGCCGCTGAACGATCTCGCAGCGTCCAGGCCGGCCAGGCGGCGGGCGTGCGGGCCGTGCGCCCTGGGCGCGCGAGGCGGTGAGGCCCCGGGAACCCTGTGCGCCGGAACGCGACGGCCGGCATGGCGATGCACGCCCTCACTGGCTTCTCGCTGGTCAGCCTGCTCAGCTTCGGCTACCTGTCCTGGGACTGGGCCAAGCCAAGCCTGGTGGCCGACGGGCCCGGGGAGGCCGGCGTGGAGCCGCCTTCGGCCGCTCCACCCCAGCCTCCCCATATCATCTTCATCCTCACCGACGACCAGGGCTACCACGACGTGGGCTACCATGGCTCAGATATCGAGACCCCTACACTGGACCGGCTGGCAGCCGAGGGTGTCAAGTTGGAGAATTACTATATCCAGCCCATCTGCACGCCTTCGCGGAGCCAACTTCTCACTGGCAGGTAGGCATGACCCAGGCTGCTGGGGCGGGCCGTAAGAGCCCCAAATAAATCCGGTCTGTAGATTTCCTCTGCGTTCACAGACCACCCTCCCCCCACTCGGACCTGGGAAACCAGGACTCGGCCAATTCTGTCTCCAGTCGCTTGTGTGATCATTAGTTAAGTCCTTTGCCCTCTCTGGGCCTCAGTTTCTCCAACTGTACACTGAATGGCTTAGATCATCTTTGAGGTCTCCTCCCTCTGATGTTCTAGGACACGCGCTATGCACCATGTGAAGGAGACATCTGGGCATCCCTCTGTGAGAGGAACATGGCAGTCTCTGACACTTAGGTTTTAACGCTGTTTCTAATTACACACCCTGAGGCCATGAGCAAGTCATTTAACTTCTCTAAGCCTCCACTTTCTTGTCTGTCCATAGAGTGGAGAGCAGTGTTTATCCTGAAAAAGAGTGGTGAGGATGGGTTGAGTTGCGCGGCTGTAATAAATGGCAGTCCCTATGTCACCAGAGGGATTAGGGTCCCCGAACTGAGGGCTGCATGGAAAGGAAACGAAGGAACGTAGAGGCGGGGCAAAAAGACACACACAGGATGCCGTGACCTATGGAGCCTTAGGCTAGTTACTTCATTTCTCCAAATCTCTGTTTTTTCATCTGCAAAATCCTCCTAAGTTGGCTGGGAGCCCCAAGGAGACGTGCTGCTTTCTCCGTAAGGAGTTGTCTGCAGGATTACAGGATTAAAAGAGCAGGGAAACAGGAGATGGGGGTGTGGAAGGCAAACTCTGGCCACTTAGGAGAAAATCCTTTGGCAAGGCTGAAGCTAATCCTCCTTGGATGGGGTCCAAGGCATGCCTTCTCCCAAGTTCCCCCCAGAAGCCATTAGTATGATCTCAGGAACCAGAGCCTTGCTCTCCCTGTTTCCCAGGTGGGAGAAACTGAGGCATGGAGTCAGGGAGGGCCCAACTCATGCCTCTGCCCAATTTCAGGGTCTGTGGGAGAGGGGGCTGAGAGGCCAGGTGGTTGGCAGGGGTCCCAGAGCTGGGAGTCGAATAGGTGCCTTTTCTTCCTTCACACGGACACGCAGCATTCAGCTCCAGGAACGGAGAGAGAGAGAGAACTGGAGAAGTGTGGAAGAGGGGCTGGTGTATGTGTTGCGGGTGGGGGCGTTGGTAGTGGTGGTGAAGACCAAATGTTGACTAACCTCCAGAAGAGGGAAAAGAATCTGCATTCCCAGGAATTGTGCACAAGTTAGCATTTCTCTCTCGAGAGGTGACTTTTGGTTTAAGCAGGGGCCCGAGCAGCCAGCAGGGCAGCGTTCCAGCCCCCTGATCTGTGAAGTTAGCTGAGCGTGGCTGGGCAGCGGCTGCCCTCAGCCCCCTGCCGCTGGCTCCATTGGACTGGTGCTGACGACTCTCATTAGCGTTCGTTAGCGCATCCAGTCGTGTCCGGTGAAGCTGGAGAGCGCCAGAGGTGCTCACGTTACCCACTTGCAGACGGGCTCCGGTGACTCTTAGCTGGCCCACCCACTTTACAAACCAGTGCTCCGTGGTGCCCAGCCCTGTGAAGAGGCTCTGCCGCTGCTTGGCCTGGGGTGCATCTTGTAGTAAATGGCATCATTCATCAGCTGGACTGAAGTCTGCGGAGCCAGGATCACCGAGAGGTTTTGAGCACGAGCTGTGTAGACCCGGGGTCGAAGCTCAGAGCTGCTGCTTGCTAGCTGTCTGCAGTGGGGCCCGTTGCTGTACTTTTGAGAGCCTCAGTTTCATCAGCTGTAGAATAGGGATAGTACTAGTCTTCCCTGTAGGTTTTTAATGAGGATTGAATGAAATAATATATGTGGCATATAGACAAGTGTAAAAATGGCCATAGTGGCTAATGATGGCTAACAACGATAACAGCTCTAAGTTAAGGAAACCAAAAACAGGAGAGCCCATCCTAGTGCCTGGGTTAAAGGTGTCAGGTATTCAGGTCTTGGCTTAACTCCAGTTCCCCTGGGGTGAGAAAAAGGTGTAGGATTCTAAGACCCTTGTGAAGTTCCAGGCTTCTTATTTACTCTGGGCTTTTAAGACTTGAGTAAAGGCTGGACACCACACGCAGATCACATGGGGGCCTTGACCGCAGAAGGGATTTGAATGAATAGATGAGGAATGCAGGATTCTGCTAACCATTTGCTCCTGCCTCAGAGCATTAGTCTGGGTGAGTGACCCAGATCCAGGGGCCGCATGAATTTATAGGCAGGCACATGAGAACTGGTCTCATAAAATTTGGGAACTGGAAGGTTTTCAGAGATCTCCCGTTCTACTGAACTCACCCCTCTATGTGAGCACACTGAAGCCACCATGAGGGAAGAGACACGGCAGCCTAGTTTGCTGAAAAAGAGTCTGTGCTTGGACTCTGCTTGGACTTATGTTCAAGTCCTGGTTTTGCCCCTGACCACTGAGTGACCTTGAGCAAGGCCCTTCCCCTCCTGTGGACACGCATTTTTCTTTTCTTTTCTTTTTTTTAAGATTTTATTTATTTATTTGAGAGAGAGAGCACAAGCAGGGGGAGGGGCAGAGGGAGAAGGAGAGGAACAAGCAGACTCCCCGCTGAGTGCAGAGCCTGATGCAGGGCTCCACTAGGGGTTCGATCCCAGGATTCTGAGATCATGACCTGAGCGAAAGTCAGACACTTAACCGACTGAGACACCCAGGCGCCCCTGGACCTGTATTTTTAAGACAAGGTAAATACACTAGAAATTGACTTGGGTCCCTTCTGCCTGTAAAATCCTGAGTGCATTCCTTCCTTCCTTCCATAAGTAATTGAGTATCCTTTAAACATCACCTGAATGCCAGGAATATAAAGTTGAGTAAAGGACAGCCCCATTACATATCACTGGCCCCAAGAGCACGTACCACTGAGTAGAATCCCATGGCCAAGTGGGACAATGATCATGTATACTAAATGTTAACCCAGAAGCAAAAGTGACTCATTCTTTGAGAGAGTTAGGAGAGACTTTACAGAGGGGGTAACATTGCGGCTGGGCTTTGAAGAGTGAGTATGAGTTTGCCTGGGAGAGCAGGACTTGCTCTAGGCACAATAGCAAGTTAGTAGCTTAAAACTTAGGGATTCTGAGGTCTTTGGAGACCCCCTGGGATATAGATCCCAGCTCCAGTTACTAATTGTTTGAATCACTGGGCAAGTGATATAACTTATTGAGCCTCGGTTTCCTTATTTGGAAAATGGGAATGATAACGACATGCATGCACTCCCTAGGTTAGTGGGGAGTTGGTGAGACAATTCATATAAAGGGCTTAGCACAATGCTGAGCACACAAGAGAGTACGTGGTGTTAGCTATTATTATTTTGTCGTCATGAATAAACTGGGTTTGACTCTTAACTCCCCCATCTTCCTAGCTGCGTGATCCTGGGTGAGTGGTTTAACCATCTCGAGCTTCAGTCTCCTCCTCTGTAAAATGACAGTAAATACCTGCTTCCATTGATTTTGAGGACTCCCTGAGATAATGCATTTGGAGTGCTTCTCACATGCTGCCTACTGTGCGTTTTCTGGGAGTGCTGGGACCAGAGCCCCCCTCAGGGAGGGAATGGGGGCGTGGTCGGCCCGAACAGTGGTTTTAGCTCCCCTGTGCCTTCCACACCCTCCCCTCTTCCCACCAGGTACCAGATCCACACAGGACTTCAGCACTCCATCATCCGCCCTCGGCAGCCCAACTGCCTGCCCCTGGACCAGGTGACACTGCCCCAGAAGCTGCAGGAGGCCGGTTACTCCACCCACATGGTGGGCAAGTGGCACCTGGGCTTCTACCGCAAGGAGTGCCTGCCCACCCGCCGGGGCTTCGACACCTTCCTGGGCTCGCTCACCGGCAACGTGGACTACTACACTTATGACAACTGCGACGGTCCCGGCGTGTGCGGCTTTGACCTGCACGAGGGCGAGAGCGTGGCCTGGGGCCTCAGCGGCCAGTACTCCACCATGCTCTATGCCCAGCGGGTCAGCCACATCCTCGCTAGCCACAGCCCCCGGCGGCCCCTCTTCCTCTATGTGGCCTTCCAGGCGGTGCACACGCCCCTGCAGTCCCCGCGAGAGTACCTGTACCGCTACCGCTCCATGGGCAACGTGGCCCGGCGCAAGTACGCCGCCATGGTAACCTGCATGGACGAGGCCGTGCACAACATCACCTGGGCGCTCAAGCGCTATGGTTTCTACAACAACAGTGTCATCGTTTTCTCCAGTGACAACGGGGGCCAGACCTTCTCGGGGGGCAGCAACTGGCCACTGCGAGGACGCAAGGGCACTTACTGGGAAGGGGGCGTGCGTGGCCTCGGCTTCGTGCACAGCCCCCTGCTCAAGCGAAAGCGCCGGACGAGCCGGGAGCTGGTGCACATCACTGACTGGTACCCGACCCTGGTAGGTCTGGCAGGTGGCACCGCCTCGGGGGCCGACGGGCTAGACGGCTACGACGTGTGGCCAGCCATCAGCGAGGGCCGGGCCTCGCCGCGCACAGAGATCCTGCACAACATCGACCCCCTCTACAACCATGCCCGGCACGGCTCCCTGGAGGCTGGCTTTGGCATCTGGAACACCGCCGTGCAGGCTGCCATCCGCGTGGGCGAGTGGAAGCTGCTCACGGGGGACCCTGGCTATGGGGATTGGATCCCACCGCAGACGCTGGCCGCCTTTCCCGGCAGCTGGTGGAACCTCGAGCGCATGGCCAGTGCCCGCCAGGCGGTGTGGCTCTTCAATATCAGCGCTGACCCCTATGAACGGGAGGACCTGGCTGGCCAGCGCCCCGATGTGGTCCGTGCCCTGCTGGCCCGTCTGGTGGACTATAACCGCACGGCCATCCCGGTGCGCTACCCAGCTGAGAATCCCCGGGCCCATCCCGACTTTAATGGGGGTGCTTGGGGGCCCTGGGCCAGTGATGAGGAAGACGAGGAAGACGAGGAAGAGGCAAGCAGGGCTCGAAGCTTCTCCCGAGGGCGCCGCAAGAAAAAATGCAAGATTTGCAAGCTGCGATCCTTTTTTCGTAAACTCAACACCAGGCTGATGTCCCAGCGGATCTGATGGGGGGGAGGTGAGGATCTCTGTCCCCCTAGATGTACTTCCCCATTCAAGCCTGAGCCTGCCCCTCCCCACGGAGGGGCCTGAGGTCAAGTCCCCAGTTGCCGGGAAATGGAAGGCACAGAGACCCTCAGTTGAAGGGTGGGGAGCTTGGCTTGGGGCAGAATAAACTAGACTGGGGTACCTGGATTCCAGTCTTGCCTCTCCGTTGACTTGCTCTGTGACCTCAAGTGGCCTGCGTGAGCTCTCAGGGCCTCAGTTTCCTGGTCTGTAATGAGCTCTAATGACTTGGTGGCTCCGTGGTGTGAACCTGGTGCCTGGGGCCATGATGGAGTTCCCATTGACCTTGCCACCTCCCAGCTCATTGAAGGCCTCACCCTTGAAGCCTGCACCTCTGTGCTACTGCTTGGGTGAGGGGCCACAAGGAGGTAACTCTAGGCTTGGACCCTCACTGAGGCATGGCGGTCCGGCCAACTCTCTTAAGGAATCATCTGAGTGCTGAGAGTGGAGGTGCAGGGATGGGGCCTAACCTTCCTGGTCCTCCCATGGATTGGGCCAGTCCTGAGGCCAGACTAGTGCTGGGGGCTGTGGGAGAAAGCTCCCCTTCCGGCCCCCACCACCCAGAGGATTGACCCAGCTTTTAGCCGCTGCAGGATCAACGGTGGTGGGAAAAGCTGTGAAAAGAGGCTCTGAACCAACAATCAGGACACTGGGCGCTGCTTTGACCTTGGACCCAATCCTTCCCCTTCGGGCCTCGATTTCCCCATCTGCAAATGGGGATGTCAGCCCTAGCTCTGCCTACCTCACAGGGCTATAGAGAACTGGCCAAGGTAATGGTTGTGGAGGAGCCCATGAACTTGATTAAAATGCAGTCACATGGACGCCAGGGCTGCAGGGCTATCTGTGAGCACAAGGGTGTGGGCATGTGCATCCTGAGGGCGCGTAGGAGCTCACCATTGACCGAGTGAGTGGGAGAGGAGGTGGGCAGCCTGCCCAGGAAGCAGGATGTATGGGTTCTGGCACAGTCCTGCCACAGGTCACTGGGTGACCTCTGGCAAATCCCGGACCCTCTCTGGGCCTCAGTGTCCCCCTGGGTACAATAGATGATTTAAGAGCCCTTCCGACTTGGTGTTCTGGGGACCCCTGCGTGTGTGTGTGTTGGGGAGCACAGGCTGAGTGGTGGGAGGAGGGGCCTGGGGGGTTCAGAGCCTGCTTGCTGCATAGCGTGCCTTCATCCACACACTGTGTTCTGCATATCTCCCTTCAGGTTCCAGTCGGTGCAGCATGTGTAGGCGAAAGCCCTGCTGTGAATTTTGAAAATAGTTATTTTTGTCACTGGCAAAGGAGGCCTGTTAGGACTCGTCAGCTTGTGGATGAGCAGGACGGGTGGGGTGGGGTGGGTGCGGTGCAGTGGAGGGGGTTTGGGTACGGGTTCCAGAGTGCATCCCCTCTGCAGAGGTAGCTGGGCCCGGCAGTGAGAGTCTGGCCTGGGGCTGCAGGGCGGAGGTGACTGACCATGTCCTGGGCCCCTTCCTCTGCCCCCCAGGGGGAGCTTTCTCTGTCTCCAGGATGTTGATGCCTGCGCTGTGTGGGGCAGGGGCCAGGACTGGCGGAGGCCTCTGGATTCCGGCCACCCCTAGCACTTCTGCCTGCTCAGGAGGGAGACTCTGAAAAGGTCGTCCATTGGGACGGTGCCCCAAGCCCAGCATATCCCACAGATGGATTGTTCATAGTCTGCCCATGACCCAGGATACTCCAGGCTCTACCGGGTGCTTCTCCTAGCTGTATGGACTGTGCCCTTCCAGAATGGCAATGGCATGGAGCCAGGACTCCCCTGCAGCTCCAGGCTTGCACCAGTTGAATGGAGGCCTCTCCCAAGACCGCTGAGTTGGCCCTGCTTTAGGTGGCCTAACTTCGCGCTCCAACCCTGCTTCTCTTCCCAGGCCCCTGCCCTTTGGGGCCATAAGAGCAGGACCATAAAAGGCCCTTTTCTGCGCTTCCCTAGACACCACAGCCTATCCCCGGTGGCTAACCTGGCCTCAGACAGAGAGAATCCAGCTGGGGCTGGGGCCCGCACCTAGGAGGAAGCTCGGTGGAATCTCAAACCCAGCCTAGAGCTTGCCTGGTTCAGAGTCCTACCTAACCCAGAACCCGGCAGACAGCCCAGGAGCCCCACTGAAGCTTCAGCCTGCAACCTGGTCCATAGTCCAGCCGTCCGCAAACCTGCTTACCCCGGGTGCTGGCAGCTGGCCCACGGCTGAGATGGGTGGAGGGCATTGGGATCAGGAGCCACCAGGACTAGGGCATGGTGATGAGAGGCTCAGCCTGCTTGTGGTTTCTATTCTGCCCAGCAGACAGCATGGCTCCTACCCTTCCTCCTGTCTCCTGTGGCCCCTGAGTCCCCCCCAGCCAGGCTTTGGGCTCTGCATCAGGCCCCTGACTGGTATTGCTGGCAGTGTTTATACCACCTGCGGTGGGGAGGGGGAGGGGAGAAGGGCAGACCAGAGGCAGCTCTGGCCCCTTGGGTCACAGATCTGAGGGAGTGGAGCCTAGAGATGCCAGACAGACCCTCGGTTTACCCCTTGGCTGAATCAGATGGCAGCAGATCTGCCAGCCAGCCAGGGTAGAGCCAGGGGTGGCCCTATCCAAGCTGGGCCCTGCCTGTGGAGTCTCGGGCAAGCATGACTGGTCCCCCAGGAACCAGGAGGGAGCCCCGGACCTGGCTGGAGGGGCAGGGCTCTGAGCCCCACCCTGGGCCTTGGCAGTGTTTCTTCCTTTCCCTTGGTACCTATTGGCTCCCTTGGGACTTAGGCAAGCAGCCCTGCAGTGCCAGAAAGAGAGTGGGCAGAGCAGGGTAGGGGAAGGAGCACTGTTCGGGGAATCAGGAATTCTGGATTATGTCCTGACTCTGCCGCTGACTTCTGCTCCTGAGGGAGGGCAGCTTCCTCTCTCTGGGCCTTGGTCTCCATCTGTATGGGGCCTGGGCTCTGTCAGGGTCCTTCCAGCCCTTATGTAGGCCAGAGAACATAAGGCAGAGGTACAGAAGTCACTCAGACCGTACACGGGTGAGTCCTGTCACATCTCTGCAAGATAGGCACTGCCTGAGCCCGCCCCACCGATACGTGGTGTGAGGTGTAAGGGCGGGATGCTTAGCACGGGGCCTGGCTCTAAAGCAGAAATAACTATTTTTCATATTTTTGGAGTCAGTGAAGGAACATCTTGTCCCTGTATTTCTTAGGAGGAAGTGGAGGCCCCAGTGAGGAAAAGACCTGCCATAAACACTCCTAACCAACAGCTGGACTTGAACTTGGGTCCTCTAACTGCAGGCTGTGCTGTGCTGACGTCGGCCCAGCAGCCACGGTCCTCTGTCCCCCGGCTCCCGGCTTCCTTCTGCTCTGCAAGCAGTGCCTCCTATGTGGGACCCCTCAGGGGACAGTGCTGCTCCCTGACCCCTGACTTCTCTCCCAAGTGTAAGCCTGATGTTACTTACTGCCATTAATTAACCACATCACCCTCCACCTAGACCCTCTGCAGGATCATTTCTCTCTTGGCCCACTTTCCACCGATTCTGCCCCCCATGCTCACTGCCCTTAGTGGGACAGGCCTCGTGGGGACCCTTCCGATGGCACGTTTTCTGTGGCACCTGCCCAGGCCCTGCAGGACCCTGAGGCGCTTGGGCATGTGAATGTGTGTGTGTGGGCTGTGCAAGGTGGAGTGTGAGTGGGCTGGCACAGGGCTACCCGGGGCTCTGATGCCCCCCGACACCTGTCTGTCAGGAACAGTCCCCCCATGCAATCATGGGCTCATTCTCTCCGCGTCCCAGAGGCAGGTGTGCTTTTCTAATGCCGGCCACCGCCAGGCACGGGCGAGGCGGTGAGCTAGCTGTCATGCGGGGCTGTGGTCACATTCAGGATGGGGGGGCTGTCTGAGGCAGTGCCACCCCCCTGAGCTAAGCTCTGGAAGGTTCCAAGCGGGTGTATGCGTAAGAGAGAGTTGCCAAGGAGACCTTTTTGGTCTTCTCCCTCCTCTCCAGCCATCTCTCTGGCTCCAGGTCCTGCGCATCGTGTCCCACCCCCGTGCACAGGGTCTGGGCCAGGGAGGGAGAGAAGACGCAGGAGGGAGAGAGGTAGAAATAAGAAAGGAGGTGAAAAGCACCGGAAGGATAGGGAGGATTGAGAAGAAAGTGCTCAAGGGAAGGAGGAAAGTGGGGAAAGGTGGGAAAGAGAAAAAGGAGAGGAGAAAGGGGGGCTGAAAGAGGAGATAGAGTAGGGAAGGAAGACAGACTGGGGTAGGGGGCGGAACGGAGTGGTACGGGGCCAGGTTGCCCTTGCTCCCTGAAGCCACATAGGCCACCTCCGTGGTCGCTGTCAGAGACAGGGAGAGAGCTGGCCATTAGCCTCTGTCCCCCTAGCTCTTCCAGTGACCTGAGGGCACGACCTCCCGCCCTCCCGCCCTCCCGCGAGGTGCTCTGCTTTCTACGTGCTTCTCTTCACCAGTGGGGGCTGGGGATGGGGCCAGCCAAGCCAGAGCAAGAGTGGTCAGGTCAGCTCCCCGAGGAGCAGGACTTTCACCTCCTTTGTTCAGAACTTCAGACACCCATTCATACAGCCTCAGGGCACACTTGTCATTTGTTTTATGTGTTAATTTCTAAAGCCCCTTTAAGTGAGCTAGGGGTCTTGTGAGCCCTCTCCTCCTAGCCCCAGTCCTTTTTTTTTTTTTTTAAAGATTTTATGTATTTATTTATTTGACAGAGAGACACAGCAAGAGAGGGACCACAAGCAGGGGGAGTGGGAGAGGGAGAAGCAGGCTTCCCAGGGAGCAGGGAGCCCGATGTGGGGCTCGATCCCAGGACCCTGGGATCATGACCTGAGCCACCCAGGCGCCCCCCAGTCCTTTGTTCTACAGGCATTGCTGTCACCCAGGATGGGGCCGGGTGATTCTCAAACCAGGAACTCAACTCCAGTGGGGACTCAGAGAACAGCACTGGCACCAAAGTGCTAGGAACAAGGATGGTGGTGCGTGCTTCCAGGATTCAGACAGAGCAGTGTGAGGAGGGAAGGCTTCTGAGTCTCTTACTAGTAATAATTTCCCATCTCTGAGCATTCGCAGTGTGTCAGCTGCTGTGCTCACCTGCTCGTCTCATTTCATCCTTAAACAGCCCTGGAGGTAGGGAATATTAGTAACTCTATTTTGC